TATTCTAGAATATAACAAAACTATAATATTGAAGAGCAAAGATCTATTACCTGGTGAGTGTTCGTCGTCCAAGAAGATGAAGGAAAAGCTATGAGTTATTCTCTATGTCAAAATACACCAATATAAAGAAATAAATAATGATATTGTTTGCTTATATATGGAAAGCAAACGTTAATCATATATTCATTTTACATTTTTTTTTTTTAAAAGTTATGAACAATCTACTAAAATCTAGAAAAGTTACTACAAAGAATCCACAAATTTGGGTAAACAAATTTATTAGAATCTAAAATAATCTTTGAGAATTTTAAAATCTATCAACTTTTGAAATCTACCAACTCTTTTGGAATCATTCTCCCAATACCCCCCCCTTAGTCTCTTATGCTGAATCTCTTCTTCACTTTTATTTATTAAGATGAGAGTAAAAAAATAAAATAAAAATATTTCTCACACATCTAAGATAAATCCAAGCCTCTTTCACTAACCATCATCTCCACCAGTGATATTTGGTTATCTTTATCTCTAGTTAGGCCTCCATCTAATTACCACCGTCATTGTACCCAATCTGCCATACCCAATTGCCACCATACCCAGTCCCGAATCATGCTTCTTTGTTTCTTTCAATAGGATGTTGTTATAATTTATAAACATATCATCAAACACTAATGGAGAGTTAGCAACAATCATCACATGCCGTTGAAATGTTGTTGTTGCTCGATTCAAATCAAGAGTAGCCTCATCTGAGATTAACGGAGGAAAAGAAGGAGGGGGTGTTAACGCGACCTCGACGGAACTGAAATGGTTAAAGAAGTTTCTGACACTCCTTGTGTTTAATCAATCATCTCGAAGCCTTGTTTTCTCTTCGATCGTGTTCTATCCATCAGTTACCGACACTCCTTAGGTTTCTAACATTAATTCATATGTTTTTGTTATATTATGCAAGAAGACATGAGTAAATTCTGAGATATCCATGGAACTATGTACATGTGGTTGTCATTTGTAGCAAACCAAACCTCCAACGAAAGAGAAGAAAGGTATCCATGGAACTCTGTACATGTGATTCATGGTCAGCTCCATATCTCAAAACTAAATGCAATTGACCCCAACAATAAATTTATAAGGTTTTGTTATGTATTTGCTCTGTTTGATGTTGACCATATGACTCAAATATCCATATGGATATGATTGTATGGTAGATGACTATGCTAATTCTCCTGACTATGCTAATTCTCCTTGTTTCTCAAAGATTGCAATCAAACAGATAGATTCGTTTACATATAGTGAACCGAGATCTTACATCTTTTTTTTGCAAATAAAAGAGAAAACAAGTGACGAAGGAGAGAGAAAATAAGAAAAAGAAAGAAATGACATATTGGTTTGGTGGCCTTCTCTTTAGTTTCACAAGGGCAAAATTGTCTGAAAACTTGTTTTTCCGTACCAAAAACTCTAGAAAAATATAGCATGGACTCAAAGTAGGTCTTTTTGCAAGTTTCGCAACTAAAAGTATGTTAGAGTGTAAATCACCCTTATAAGAATTAGTAAAATAAAATTTGAAATATAATAGTAAAAATTATAATGCACGGTATTATGAAAGACAAATCAAAAATAAGATATAAATATTTGTTCACTATAATAGCATTATTTATTTTAATATAAAATGTTGGGTCCAAAATCTTCTTAATGCGTTCAAAATTTTCAAAAAGGTCCATAACTAAAAGGAGATACACGTCGTGTGAGACGATATAAAGAAATGACTTTGGGGATTCAAGAAGCTCTCCACTATGTTGCTTCACCAAGAGAAGTTTTTATTTTATTTTTGCTTTTATTTGGGTTATTCTATGTTAAAAGTTTCTTTCACCGTGTAAAAATGTTAGCTTTTAAAACTTTGCTCATAAAGTCTAAACACACTAACTCTCATCAAAACTGTAGCGAGTACTACTGAATATGATCATCAGTTCAACACCTTTATTCTACTTGACATTCTTAGGGCAGGTCAATGATGACTCTTAAGTTCAAAATAAGGTCCCAACTTAAACATAATAGAATGAAAAACTTGGGTCGATGAGTAGAGATCGATCGTGTTGACTGATCCTCCCGGCCACTTTTTCGACAAAGCGAGGCAAATTGAGCCAAGTTCAACATTGTCTTCAGCCAAGTTTCACGTTCTTTACTTAGTTCATAGTGTTTTTTAAGCATTCTCTATTGTATTATTGTGTCTATTGTTGTAAGCGGTAGAATTATAGGCCCAAATAGAATTTCGTGATCTTTACTTGGTCTTCGCAGAGGCTACTCCAAGGCAAAGGCATCCTAAAGCAGTGAAGAGTTTCAGTTGCACCGTGGCTTGTGGATTCAAGATTGACATGTGTGATTCATTGATTCTCAATGGGCTTGGTTTTGTAAGGTCAACATTATTGGGAGGATTTAAGGGTAAGATTTAACAAAGATAGTATGTTATATAAGATACTCTCTTTGGTAAATCTTACCCTTAAATCCTCCCAATAATGTTGTTCTTAAGAGGCTGGAATTTAGTCATTGGCCTTTTTAGTCAAACTTGTTCTGTCACAATATTTTTGATTCAAACTTATCTATCATATTAGGAGATTCTATCTTATCTTATTCATAAATACCCCATTAACACGAAATTTACACTTTCCCTATCCTATAAAAACGTTATACATTGTCCCAAAATATATCAGTCTTCTTCACCTACTCTTTCTACTTCTACAAGGTTATCCGAAGAAAAAACAGATCTACAATGATGATGGGGAAATCTTCATCGAAAGCTGCTTTCATCATCCTTTTAGCTCTTACTGGTAGATTTCATGTTTTATATATATATATATATATATATATATATATATGGTATTAAAGAATTATACCGTGTATACTAATGTTCAACTCCACCTATTTTGTGTTGTAGTACTGATGATATCCACAACAGTTGAGATTATTGAGGCAAAGCGTCTCTTACCTGAAGAAACTGCTCTACACTCATCACATCATAAAGCTTCACTGACGGTTAAGCCACTTGGGCTTGATTTTTGTACGCCACCATGCCAAGAATTATGTTTTGGTACCGGCTGTTACTGCGTATGTTAATAGTGTGATCTATATCTAAAAGTATAATTATTATATTTTGCAACTGAATTAAAATAATTTTTTTTTTGGGTATGTCCGGTTGTCTACTTAAAGTTTTCTCATAACTATAACTACATAAACTTGTAATACAAGAGATGTTTACACGTGAAAGAGTTATAAACTTATAAAAACAAACACACACATATATATATCCTCTAATCACATGGACGCGTGTTTAAACTCTCTCAACATACAAAGGATAAAAAAAGAATAGACCAATCGACCTGCTCTAATTAAGAGTACATCATTTATTTCCGAACCCATGCGAAGAAATTCGAATTCGATCCATTTTTTTAATTAAACCGGTCGAAAGGATGTTAAGAAGAAGAGTCCAAAGACGCATGTGTCTCTTTCGACATAATTACCATATACTTTGTGGAGAAAGATCCCACATTGGAAGATGTGATGGAACTTAAGTAATATATAAGGGGTTAGGACCAATCCAATCATTGCCAATTGGTTTTGAGTTGGAAGCCCATAACAAACCCTAATTTAACATGGTATCAGATAGCCCTGGGCGTTCGGATTTTTGGATCGGATCGGATTATTCGGAGTTCGGATTTTTCGGATTGGGATGTATAAAATCCGATTTGAATCCGACTGGTTTTCGGATCCGATCGGTTCAGAATTTTTTGGATTCGGATCGGTTATCAAATTTTATTACGAATACGAGTTTAAACAGAATCCTATTTCGGATCGGTTTCGGATTCGGATTCTACACTATAAATCCGAAACTTACACTCTAAATCCGAACAATCCGACGTAAAAAAGAGGTTTGAGCGTTGAAGGACAAAAACATAGACATTATATGTATACTATGTGATGTATTAGACCATGTGTATTCGGGTTAGCAGATAACCGATCGGATTTCGGTTCGGATCAGATTAAATCCAAAATCCGAATCATGTTCAACATAAAATCCGATCGGTTTTTACATAGTAACTGAAACCGATCCAAATCGGATTTTTCGGATCGGTTCGGATCGGTTTTGTCGGATCCGGGTTATATGCACAGGGCTAGTATCAGAGCCCGAACACACGCTGACCCGTTAATTAATCCGGTCCAATAAAAGACCCGATCACCCCATTAATTGATGGTCCAAAGTAAGGCCCAATTCTATCGAAATAGCTAGAAGAGCATTATTTCGATGGGGCGTGATGGATTCTGTCGAGATTAATAGCTAAAAGAGCCATTATCTCAAGGGGGCGTATAGAGAAAAATCCCACATTGGAAAATGTGATAGAACTTAAATAATATATAAAATATTAGGACCAATCCACTCATTGCTAATTGGTGTTGAGTTAGAAGTCCATAACAAACCCTAATTTAACATACTTCTCGATCTCCTTCTTGATATCTTTCCTCGACGCCATGTAAACATCTACGTCACTCTCGAGGTTAAACTCACGACACCATGTAAGAGATTGACGATGTCAAAATATAGCCGTTGTATCATGGACACGTCGCCAAACCCAACGAGCATCCCAATTCCCAAGCAAAGCATCATAAGTTTCATAGCACCGTCGCTTGTTGATTGACATGTGTGATTCATTCTCTATTGTTTTTTTTTTTTTTGGTCAACAGTAATCGAACATGAAGAGAAAATCGTCTTTATGGCATCCTCATTGGGGGTAGCCTCCTAAGATATCCCAATGAGGATGGTCTAAGGAACTTATCAAATCATGGGCCTCGTTGACCAAAACAAAAATTTGTGGGCCTCGTGTCTTAAAAAGCCCAATAGAAAATATTCTAGTTTCTTAAAAAAACCTAATTCGTCTTTCTCTTTTCAATAAATTATCTACAGATTCTTGCGTCTTCTTGTCTCTCTCTCTCCCTTGGATTTGTGAATTTCTTGATTCGATCGATATGGGTTTCTCCAAAGACCAGCTGCTTAATCGACTTCAGGTTTGAAAAAAATCATCTCAATTTCATCATTTTGATTTCGCATTGCTTTTGTTTGGAATTCGTAAGAATCAGTAGATTCCATTTTCATGTTTTTCTGAAGAAGTTGTGTAGTGAGTGTTATTGTGCAGAATAGTCTTGAACATGAGCTTTATTGACTGATTCTAAGTTTCTAAATCGATTTTGGTGAAGTTTTTTTTTTTTTTTTTTTTTGGGGGAATGTGGAAATGTAATTGAAATTTCTGTGTATTTACACAACTTCAGGAACTAGAGATTGAGTATACCAAGTATGAACATCCGCCTGTTCTAACCGTCGAAGCGCAGGCTAAGTATGTAAGCAGTAGTGAGGGAGCACTGAGTAAGAATCTCTTCTTGAAGGTAAAATCTTTAAAAGCTTCAAGAACTGACTTATACCCATTGTAAAATGGCTTATATGCTTTGGGTTTTTGTTTTTTGTAGGATAAGAAACATCGGTATTATATTGTTTCAGCTATGGTTGATACAAAAGTTGATATGAAAGGTAACACATAGATAAGTCTTTGGGATTGTGAAATAGAAATGTGTATTTTTGGGGATGTTAATGGGTGTTTCCTGTGACTTCTAATCCAACAGTTTTATCTCAGAGACTTGGTCTTGGCAAAGGAGGTTTAAGAATGGCTCCTGAAGAAGCACTTGCTGAGCTTTTGCAGGTGTTGTTCATTGTCTCTTCCTCTGCTTTTGTGTGTTTGTTATATATATCTGGAGAGAGTTGTAATGAAGAACCGTACTGTAATAATTGAACCATGGTAGTGATAGTTTCTTTGACAATGGGAAAGAATAGTTTCTCTAAACAGAAATGCTTAAAATGACATATTTTGCTACAAATCCACTTGAGTTTATTTAACTTAGTTTTGTTGATGTTTACAATATTTGACCCTTGTGCTACTTTCTTTTTCCGTCAAAGGTATCGCTTGGATGTGTTACCCCATTTGCAGTTGTAAATGAATCAGCAAGGTATTGTTTTCCTTAACATTGGTTCATAAGTGTGGTCCTTTTCCAAGTTTTGAATTAATGTCGGCCACTGACATTGTTCTTATTTGTTAAAGAGATGTGTCGCTCTTGTTAGACCAAAAATTCAAGAACCAAAAACGCTGCATATTCCACCCATTGTCTAATGAAGTCTCAGTCTGTAAGTACTTCATTACATACTTTTCTTGTATGGTTCAAGTTCATGCCATATCGAAATACTTATAACATTCCAACTTAAGAAAAGTTTGTTTGTTTTTTGTTTTGGTGGTCAATTCTTTCTAGTTGCCAACATAATTTAGCATAGATACTAATTTGGTTAGTCCTTATCATTTCCAGCTCTTAACACATCGGGTCTGGACAAGTTCCTCAAGTCGATTGAGAGAGATCCCGTATATGTTGACCTTGAGGTAAATATTCTAAACCTTTAACTTGAGACCTCATGTTCCACAGTTCCTTTCTTCAGGGTTAACCTTTTGAACTATGGTTCTGATATTTCAGGCTAACCCGGCAGTTGGTAAAGATCAGCCTCCAGATCTAGCTGTTTATGTTCCGTCTAATTCAGTTGTTGTTCCCGAGATTTCTAACGAAACATCTACTAAACAAACCCCTCCTCCAAAGAGTGTATCAGCTGAGGTTAAGCCTGTCGCTTCAGGTATGCCTAATCTATCAAGTGTTTAACCATTCGCTCCAATTCTTGCTAAACTTCGAAGGATTAGTTTATATAACTCGGTTTCCTCCAACCGTGCAGCCAAACCCAGCAAGCCAGCCAGTAAGGGAAAGAGCGTCATCGTGGAAAACTCAACCCCATTACCTTACAAGAACCCTGAGAAGTTCGTGGAAGAGATTATGGACAAAACATCAGCTCTCTTATTATCCGAGGTAGTAATAAACTCATCTCAAACTTAAGAAATCAGTTCCATAACATTTCAAGGTAAATTCTGAAACCGGTTTTTAACATACAAGGCTAAGGGAGAGAATGTGGAAGCTTTAGCAGAAACACTGAGAAAACGTCTCACCTCAGAGTTAACACACCTCGCGGTGAGTATCATCACTCTAAAAGACTTAAAACTGTATGAAGCGTGAACCAATGTTTGATTTTTGAGTAAATTTGATTGCAGATTATGTACAAGAACACAGCTTATGCACAAGGCTTTTATGCCGGTACACATTCCCAGCCGAAGCGACTCTAAGAAGTTTTGGTTTGGTACGTTAAACCGAAGACAATTTGGGAGAGAAAGATACCGGTTAAGCATTTATAATTTTTTCTTGTACAACAATTTTTGAGATCTCGAATCATATATTGACTGATAGTCTGTTACTTTGTTAATCTCAAAACTAAATCCGAATCTAAACAAAACTGAAAAATAATTATGAATCTTAAACTTGGAATATCTGATTATTAAAATATATTTGGTTAGAAACGAATTTTTTTGGGGAATCTTGTAAATACGGTATATTTTAAAAAAATGTCATCATTAGTTTTATTTCCCAAAAAATATATATTACATTTTATTCCCTCTGTTTCATAAATTTACATATGTCCATATTAAATTGACTAATTATAGATTAAGTGGTTTATGGTTTAATTAATTCCCTCTGGTTTAATTAAGTGGTTTATTGTTTTATTAAATTTTATTCCCTCTGTTTCATAAATGGTTTATGGTTTAATTAATTATAGATTAAGGTTAAAATTTGGAAATTTCAAAGATGCATTGGAATTTTTTTTTTTTTTCTAAAATTATCACAAAACTAAATTCTAAATCGTAGTTTGATCAAAAAAAAAAAAAAAAATTTCTAAATCGTAAATACTACTAAATCATAAATCGTAAATACTAAATTTAATCTCTAAAAACTATATATCTTAAACATAGAATTGTCAACCCAACTTTTCAAAAGTAAATTTTACAAAAAAAAAATTGTGTTGTTTTTAGAAAAAATAAACAAATTACGAAAATTTTGGAAAAAAATAAATTCTCAAAAAAAAAATATATATTTTAAAAAAACACCAAAATAGTTGTAATTTTTTTTTTAGAGATATTATTATTCGAAAACGACGGGATTTTAATTTTGTTAACAACAATTAGTAATTTATTTTTTACTTAATTAACAAATAACAATAGATCATCATGCAAAATGCAAAATTATGTTCGTCGTCTTAATCTAAAACCCTAATCGTCTTCCCCGGTAAAACCCAATTCACCGATCAATGTCACTCGTCCGATGTATATCCCTCAGGTCTATACTCAGAGCTCGACACGACCGATCATCTTATTCATGTCTCATCCATCTTCATCAGACTCCTCCTCGCGAAGAAGAAGATAAAATTACACGCAAAACTCCATCAATCCGAAGTTACCACAGTATTATCCACCAGAGCTCGTTCATCAATGGATCAGCTCTAGATCTCTCTCGCAATCATTGCTCTGTTTTCAATTCTTATCCAGCTACGAAGGTTTCTTCAGATCGATTCATTTCCACCTTCAGGAGCTTCCATGGTTCCGGCGACGCCGTCATCGATTGGTTTTTGCAATCTGCGGTGTCTAAGGCTTTTGAGTTGCACAACGTTGCTGATGTTCTTGTTTCTCTTAACCATTTGCTTGCGTTGCTCAACTCTTTCACGTTTTCTCAATGGTTAGAATACTTTTCACAATGTGTGTTAGATTTCACTGTTCTGCTTTGGCTCACACTAAGTATCCTGCTTTACATGGTTGATTCTGTTTCTAATTTGGCTTAAATTAAGTATCTTTGTGAACTTTGATCAATCTTGGTTTGAGGTGGTAATGTTCTGCTTTGGCTTACACTAAGTATCTTTGTGATCAATCTTGGTTTATTGTCTTTGACTGTGTTATTGATTCTGATTTGGCTTAAATTAAGTATCTTTGTGATCAATCTTTGTTTATTGTCTTTGAATGTGTTATTGATTCTGTTCTGCTTTGGCTTAAATTAAGTATCTTTGTGATCAATCTTGGTTTATTATGGTCTTTGAATTTGTTGTTACAGGTGGGTGTTTATCATCGTAACGTCGCTTTTGATTCGGGGAATTACAATTCCTGTTATGGTTGATCTGCTTAACAACATTGCAAAGTTCTTTAAGGTAGGTTCTTTATGTGTTCTAAGAGATATAGATATATAGATAGGCAAAAATTTGAGTAACTTAGTAATGTTTGATGGAAATTATTAGTTTATTAGCTTTGTGCCCTCTTTATGTTGTAATGAGAAGTGAGAACTATGTAGCCAAACCTTTCTAGTAGCTATCTATTTATTTAGTGAATCTCTCTTTGTACAGGGTCTTGGCTCGCACCAAGGAGAGGCTCTAGACAAGGTATTGTAGCTCTGCTATAATTTTTTCTTGTTTCCAACATTTGTGCACAGAACCCTGCAATGTGGTTTGAGTTAGCTTCCCTATAAACTCAATAGTAGCTTGGTCTTGGTCTCATTCAGGTATTAGTTCTCCGAAAAAGTCCAGGAGTAATGTACACCATGTTGAAAAAAGAGTAAGCAGCAGCTTTCTGATTTACATTCTTTTGGTTGTTCAAAAGCTTAACATGCTGTGCTCTGCTCCTTTCGTTACGATTTCTAAGTTGTTGTATGATGATACAGGTTTTTCGGAGTTAAAGGATCAGTCTTTGGTCAAGGGATTCAAGTTCCTGTATTTTGGTTCTCCATGGCAGAGTTGAGACAAAACATGGTTGAGATTCTTATGTCGCGTTTTCGCGGTAAGGTTTTGTCAGCTGAATTGATCAAGAACGGAGTCTTGAGCAGAGGACGTTTAGTGGTGGTCGTTGGTGATGGAATCGGACTAGAGATTCAAATGTTTGATCTTGACTTCTCACTTATCTTGAAGCGTCGTCAAATCTCACAAAGCTACAACATAGAGCAGGAGCAAAATGTAAAAGTCGTGTTTTGACTCTGAAAGTAAACTAATTAGTATTTTGTTTTCTAAGATAAACAAATTATTTGGTAGTAATAAATTAATAATACTAGTTAGAGTGTCTATTACATTGCTCATTCATCTTTATTAAGATGAGCTTAGTTCACTAATAAAAGTATAATCACACCATGTTGAAGCTAGAGTTGTCCAAACAAATCAATAAACGAAGAAGACAAGTATAATGGGTCACTCATAAGCCCAATAACTAAAGATAGGCCCAATTAAATACCGTGGCGCGAGAATATTTCTCTATATATAAATCAAATCAGTGAAGTATTGTGTTGTGTTACCCTAATTTTATAAGCCGGGACGAGAGAGTGAAAGAAACAGAAATGGATGGAGATGGGGAAGTTATCGATAGTGAGCCGTCGTCGCCGGGTTCAGTGATAAGTATAGATGATGAGGATCCAGCATATGATCTCTTCTACGAAAATTTTATGGAAGACTACATGATGCCAATGGGTGATGAGAGAGGTTTAGATGATCAGATTATCCATGGTGAGGCTGAGGCTGTGGTAGATGCTCAAGAAAATCTTCTGTTCGATAACGATAACGATGACGAGGTGATAGATCAGCAAATCGTTAGGGATGGTGGTGAGCTTGAGGAGGAGGAGGATGAAGAAGATGAAGAGGGAGAAGATCTCTTTAACGATAATTACTTCAATGATTATGGGCGATTTTAGTCTTACGTGTAACAAAATAACTAGGAGAATTTTAAATTATTATTTAGAAGATTATATGGAATTTGTTGGTAATTATCTCAATATGTAGTTGAATTTGAAATTTTTTTAAAGGTTTAGGCCATGAATGTTTTGTAGTTTTTAAATGGGTTTTAGCTGGTTTTTGGTTTTTGGCTTTTAGTTTTTGGTTTTTTAGTTTTTGATTTTTGCCGTAAATAAGTTGAAAAAAATGGTTTTCAGTTTTTATGAAGGAATTGAGCAAATCTCACAAAATCTGGTTTCCCTAAATTTAAGGAAATCTACTTTTATAAGAATCGTGAATGACAATTTTTCTGGTTTTTTAGAATCAAAAACCAAAAACCAATCAAAAAAATTAATTTTAGTGGCATTAAAGAGAATTCCCTATATGTTCTCTTTAATGCCACTAAAATTATTTTTTTTTCCAAAAAAACTATAGTTTTATTTTCTACAATAAAAATACAATTAGAACTATTTTTTGACATTTAAAAAAAAAAATTCTAAACAATAAAATCTACATCTTAAAAAATTATACCCTAAATATAAATAGTTTATCCAAACATAAAAAAAATCTACAACTTCAATCATTTTTTTAATTATGTTTACAATATTTTTGGAAAAAAAATAATCTGTGATATTTTTGGAAAGAAAACAAAAAATTTGGTATCTTAGAAAATTTCTCTATAAAAATATCAAGCTAATATATGATTTTTTAATACCGTTAAAATGAGTATTTTTCCTAAAATACCAACCCTAAAAACTATACCCTATATATATATATATATATAGTCAACCCAAACATAAAAAAGTTTATATATCTTTAAAAAATAATTTCTGTGTTTATGGTATTTTTAGGAGATATTTGTTTTTGGTAGTTTTGTGAAAAAATAAAAATTAGGGAAATCATATGTAATTTTTCAATTTTTTTTTTTTTTTTATGATGATATTTTTTTTGTCAAAGGATGTTTTATGAGCCACAAACACACAGTAGTTTACAACGATAATTGCGATATACAGTAACCAATTGAGCCGAGCTAACAAAAGCCCATATTTATAGGCCCTTCACAGGCCCAACTACGTATGTCAATTTTGGCGCGATTATTTCCCGCCTAGTCGACGAGAAAAACTAATAAACGAGTGTTTTGTGCCCTGATTCCGTCGCCGGAATAATAGTGAGAGAGAGAGAGAGAGGTAGAAATGGCGGGAGAAGATTCAGATAACCAGCCGTCGTCACCAGCTTCACCTTCTTCCGCCGGATTCAACACAGATCAGTTACCTATAAGCACGAGCCAAAACTCAGAGAATTTCTCCGATGAAGAAGCCGCCGTAGATACCCAAATCATCAGGGATTTGCCTGAAGAGGCGGAGGAGGAAGATGAAGAAGAAGGAGAAGATCTCTATAACGATAATTACTTGGATGATTATCAGAAGATGGATGGGAATGATCAGTATGAGTCCAATGGATTAGATGATTCCGTCGACGATGAGAGGGATTTAGATCAGGTTATGCTTGACCGTCGTGCGGCTGAGGCTGTGCTCGATGCTCGTGAAACTCAATTCGCTGCTACTCGCAAGCTTCCTCATCTTCTTCACGATAATGGTAAATTAAAATCCCTAATTCTCCTGTTTCAGTACTAATCGGAACCCTAAATTGAGTCTGGATTTAGATATAGGTATGTAATTTGAGTTGGGTTGTTTTGTTTATACAGATTCAGATGATTGGAATTATAGGCCTTCGAAGAGGTCTCGGACTACGGTTCCACCAAGAGGTAATGGTGATCCTGATGGAAACCCTCCAAGTTCGCCAGGAGGGTCACAGCCAGATATTTCAATGACTGATCAAACAGATGATTATCAAGATGAGGTATGAATGTTTTGAATCAGTTCTTCTTAGTTTGTTGGTGATAGGTGTGTTATGCTAATGCTAATGGTTGGTAAATTTTGTTAATATAGGATGATAATGAAGATGAAGCAGAGTTTGAGATGTATCGGATTCAAGGAACTCTGAGGGAATGGGTTATGAGAGATGAAGTGAGACGTTTCATTGCTAAGAAGTTCAAAGACTTTTTGCTTACATATGTGAAACCAAAGAATGATAATGGAGATATTGAATATGTTCGTTTAATAAACGAAATGGTTTCAGGTACTTTGATTTTCTAATTGCTATAACTTCATAAGTTTTTCTTTACTGGTAAATTTAGTAATTTACTAGCACTAGCTCTCTGAACTATCTATATATGGCTCATTTTCAGCTAATAAGTGCAGTCTGGAAATTGATTATAAAGAATTCATACACGTCCACCCAAATATTGCAATCTGGTTGGCGGATGCTCCACAACCTGTTCTTGAAGTCATGGAGGAAGTTACAGAAAAGGTCATCTTTGATCTGCATCCCAACTACAAGAATATTCACACAAAGATCTATGTTCGTGTTACCAACCTGCCAGTTAATGATCAGATTCGGAACATAAGGTACTAGTATGTCTGAATTCATGGATAGTGATGACTTTTGTAATTCATAATCATTCAACTTAAACTTTTTTGTTTGTGAATTGCCAGGCAGATTCATCTTAACACTATGATCCGTATTGGTGGAGTTGTAACAAGGCGTTCTGGGGTCTTTCCTCAGCTGCAGCAGGTTAAATATGACTGTAACAAGTGCGGAGCAGTTTTGGGGCCTTTCTTCCAAAACTCGTATTCAGAAGTCAAAGTCGGTTCTTGTTCTGAATGCCAGTCAAAAGGACCGTTTACTGTGAATGTCGAACAGGTAGGCTTCTTTGTTCTGTATCATTTTCCTTTAAAGTGAATGAACTTCAAATGTAAGCTATAGATTGGAATGTAAAGACCACGCTATTAATTTACTCTCTTGTTCCAGACAATATACAGGAACTATCAGAAGCTTACAATCCAAGAGAGTCCAGGAACAGTGCCTGCTGGACGACTTCCAAGACACAAAGAAGTTATTCTGCTGAATGACCTTATTGACTGTGCTCGTCCTGGAGAAGAAATTGTACGCTCGTCATACATTACTCTTTTAGAATACTTGTAGATCTGTATATGATAGATGATTGATATTATCCTGCATGGGATGTTTTGCAGGAGATTACTGGCATATATACCAACAATTTTGACTTATCTTTGAACACAAAGAATGGGTTTCCTGTATTTGCCACAGTGGTGGAAGCTAACTATGTTACAAAGAAGCAAGACCTGTTCTCTGCATACAAGCTAACCCAGGAAGACAAGACACAAATCGAAGAGTTATCCAAGGACCCACGTATAGTTGAACGCGTAAGATGGATATAAATTCTCTTAATAACTCCTTTGAATTGCTTCAAAATTAATCCTTTTTAACATTTTTCAATTTCTCTCTCAGATCATTAAGTCAATTGCTCCGTCAATATATGGCCACGATGATATCAAAACAGCTCTTGCACTTGCTATGTTTGGAGGCCAAGAGAAAAACATTAAAGGGAAGCACAGATTGCGTGGAGATATAAATGTACTTCTACTTGGTGATCCAGGAACAGCAAAATCACAATTTCTGAAGTAAGAATATTAGCATGGCCTACTGACTTCCCGTGGTGAATAATTCCATTAACTGCAAAAATGTTTCTTTTAGGTACGTTGAGAAAACTGGTCAGAGAGCTGTCTACACGACTGGTAAGGGAGCTTCAGCTGTTGGTCTGACTGCAGCAGTACACAAGGATCCAGTTACTAGGGAGTGGACCCTTGAAGGAGGGGCTCTCGTACTTGCTGATCGGGGAATTTGTCTTATTGATGAGTTTGACAAGATGAATGACCAGGACAGGTAACAAAGCGCAACTAATGAGTAATAATTAATTACCTTACCGGACAAAATGGTGCTGACGGTATAAGTTTTGTAACAGGGTAAGTATCCATGAAGCCATGGAACAGCAGAGTATCAGTATATCCAAGGCAGGAATAGTTACGTCTCTTCAAGCTCGTTGCTCAGTTATTGCCGCAGCTAATCCTGTTGGTGGAAGGTACATGAGTAACTATAACTATGTCTCCAATCCATTGACCTAGAAGTTGTAATCTTAATCTTGCTAATTTGTTTGTGACATTGCAATTTCAGATACGATTCATCAAAATCATTTGCACAAAACGTCGAGTTGACAGATCCAATCCTTTCTCGTTTTGATATTTTGTGTGTTGTCAAGGTCTTTTCCTAAACCTCTGCTTATTGTTCTTCCTATCATATCATTGATTGCGTTACGTTTTTGGTTATTGACATGACTTAAACCAATTATATGGCTGCAGGATGTGGTTGACCCAGTTACAGATGAAATGCTAGCTGAATTTGTTGTCAATAGTCACTTCAAATCACAACCCAAAGGTGGTAAGATGGATGATAGCGAGCCCCAAGATGGCATTCAGGGGTCTAGCGGTTCTACTGATCCGGAGGTATGTGATTTTCAGGTCGAGCTTTTTATTTGAAGTTTCAATATTTTCATGCCTTATCGAAATGTTATTTTATGTATAGGTTCTTCCCCAGAACCTGCTGAAGAAATACTTAACATACTCGAAGTTGTATGTATTCCCAAAACTGGGTGAACTAGATGCCAAGAAGTTAGAAACTGTTTATGCTAATCTAAGACGAGAATCAATGGTAGGTTTCTATTCTTGATTTTAATTCTACTGATGGGTTACGTCTTTCTCTTATATTATGTTATAGTCTCTTGACCTGCTTTAATCTTTCGTTCAGAATGGACAAGGAGTTTCTATCGCGACAAGGCACCTCGAGTCTATGATCCGAATGTCTGAAGCACATGCTAGGATGCACCTTAGGCAGTATGTAACAGAAGAGGATGTTAATATGGCCATTCGAGTTCTGCTTGACTCTTTCATATCAACACAGAAATTTGGAGTCCAGAGAACTCTAAGAGAGGTAATGCAGAACTTTTCATTCAGGCGTTCCATGAGCTTGTATCTATTGGATTCCGATATCTGAATTTTGACGAAACTTGTTTCGTCCTGTGCAGAGTTTCAAACGATACATTACATACAAAAAGGACTTCAACTCATTGCTGCTTGTTCTTCTGAAAGAGCTCGTAAAGAATGCGTTGAAGTTTGAAGAAATCATTTCAGGATCAAATTCAGGACTATCGTCTATCGAGGTTAAGATAGAGGAGCTGCAGACAAAGGTAAACTATCATATGATTAGCCTAAAAAATTAGAAGAACGCTTCGTATTACATTCTTTTATCTCACAACTCTTAATGTTTACTTCTCAGGCCAAGGAATACGACATTGCAGATCTACGACCGTTCTTTTCAAGCACTGACTTCTCGAAAGCTCATTTCGAGTTGGACCATGGTCGAGGAATGATCAAGTGTCCTAAAAGGCTGATCACTTGGTAAACAACAAGGCGAGCTTCAAGTCACTATCAACTTAGATTTATAATCGTATGAAATATCAAATGTCTGATTATTAGGAAGATAGTTTTGTCTTAAGATTATGAGTTGCTCAAGGATTTGCAGTTTAAATGACGGTTTAATGCAACTTTTGGAAACAAATTGAATTTTTCTATCTTGCTAATTGAAAAATCTTTACATTTAACTCGTAAGTTTTAAGTTTTAACTAGTGTAATCAGAATTTTTTTTGGTACATTAATGACTAAAATTCAAATCTGAACCGAAAATTTTAACCTTACCAAACCATTCAAATCTGAACCTTTATTCATAAACCGGAAATTTAAAATACCAAGAACCAAATCTAAGCGGTGACGTCAGAACTACATGCCGTTTCGTATTTCTACAATATGAACTCCTTGTTGTTTAAAATAGCAAAGGCAACAACATCTGTCGTCGACTGATTCGTTGTCTGTTCGTCGAGAAACTTTATTTTGTTTCTTTGCAATTCGGAGTATAGTTCGCTCGCCAAGTTCCGATTAGGGTTAAGAATTTAGTGAAATCTCCGTTTGGTGAGACTTCGTCGTCTTCCTCAATACTCCCTGATTCATTCATCGGACCTGGTACGTGCTTTCGTCTACTAGTTAGGGTTTTTTGCTCTTTTTTTTTGAAATATTGAGCTCGAAGTTGGGATGCTTTGCTCTTCAGATTAAGCTGTAAATTTGAAGAGGAAGCTATATTCTGTGGGAGAATGGCGAATAATCCTCCCCAGAGTTCTGGTACCCAGGTGCGAATGTGCCATAGTTGCTCTCTCTTTTTTAGTTCGTTTCATGGAATTCGAAGCTACTCGATTGATATTGTTCTTAGCAATTTGATTTTAGCGAAGGTTTTGATGCAATTAAAAAGCTCTTCTTAGCTTAAACTAGAGACTTAGAAGAAGTAGGATTGTTCAAGCTCAAACTTATTAGGAGGTTTCTTTGATCTTTCGTTTCTGTCATTGTTTAATAGTTTGTGGGTTTTATATTATTGGATTGTTATAATCTTGCCCCTTACTGTCAGAATCATACATTCAATAAGTAATTTGATGTAGCCTAAGATTTTCAGAAAACTAAGAAGCCGAAGTATGTGTCTCAGCTACAAAGTTTGCATAACTACAAAGTTTCTATGGGGTAGCTGCCATTTGGTGAACGTTTTGTTTTAGTGTATGATTTATAGTAATAGTTTGTTAGTTTCTCCACCTAATATTGTTTTCCAGTGGTCTGAAATCTGTTAGATGTGCTTATGACTACTTTCCAGCAGTTTCGGCCGATGGTTCCAGGGCAGCAGGGTCAGCATTTTGTTCCTGCAGTTTCACAGCCTTTTCACCCCTTTGGACATGTACCTCCAAATGTTCAAAGTCAGCCTCCACAGTTTTCTCAGCCGATACAGCAACAGCAGCTCTTTCCAGTGAGACCAGGTCAGCCTGGGCATATTACATCATCGTCACAGGCTGTATCAGTTCCTTATATTCATACGAACAATATTCTCACTTCTGGATCTACCCAGCAACAGCCGAATGCACCTCCAATGACGGGCTTTGCTACATCTGGACCTCCATTTTCTTCTTCATATAGTGTGAGGCTTCTACTTTTCTTATATATGTGTTTCAGATAATCTTTTCTATATATGATTCGTTCTCATTTTCTTACTGGATTCTTGTTCCTGCAGTTTGTACCATCATCTTATCCTCAGCAACAACCACCATCCTTGGTCCAACCAAATTCTCAGATGCATGTAGCTGGTGTCCCTCCAGCAGCAAGCACTTGGCCTGTTCCTGTAAATCAAAGTACATCACTTGTTTCCCCTGTGCAGCAGACTGGGCAACAAACACCAGTCCCCCTTTCAACAGACCCAGTAAGTGACTAAGATTACTTATCATAAATATGTTTTGGTTACTTGTATCGATGCCTATATTTGCTATTAATTATGAAACCATAAATTACTAAATCTTATCATGTTGAGTTGTATTATCATATCAGTTGAGACGACCCACATTTTTCCTCTATCATTTATAGCATTTCCATCTTCCTCTGGACTATTTTGAGGTAGTTTTTGTATATGAATCGAGCGTACCTCAACTTATTAGCAAAGTTTCATATAGACACCGACTTATCTAGACTTATGTACACCTCCTCGGGACCTTAACTTAGCTCAAACTCGAGTAAGGTTGGAAAACCTAAGGTTTTGTTGTAGAGAACCCAAAAACCCTTCCAATCCTCACGAGCCCCCTAGCAAACCACAAAATACTTGTTACTTCTACACATCATATTAGCATAACCTTTTCCTATTTATACTCAATTAGTAACTACCTAATACGGCATTGTTGATGAACACTTATCAAACCTATTAGTCTTTATTTATGTACCATATCTCTTATGCACTTGTAGCTTAATAATTTTGTTGGATTTTGATTACAGGGAAGCTCGACTCCGCAATCTGCATCTGACTGGCAGGAGCATACATCCGCTGATGGGAGAAAGTATGTTACTGAATTATTGTGTAAATTTAGGCCAATTATCTTCCTACATGTCACTCTTTGTACTGTAGTTCTGTGTTCATGCAATCACCATTCGGAATTGATTAATTTAGTTGGAAATTGTTCATAACCTTCTCATGTTTGGGAACTTTCATAAGGTCCATGCAGATGTGTGTTTCATGGTTTTGGGTCAATGGTGTCTAAATTTTGTTGGGTTATCTGATATATACTTATCTTTTCTAGGTATTACTATAACAAGCAGACTAAACAATCAAGTTGGGAAAAACCTCTAGAACTGATGACACCACTCGAGGTGAGACTTTGTCTTCTAAAATGACTTTTGTCTTGATTCATTGATCAAATATACCCTGTATATGCATGATTTTTATAGTTTCTTGCAATCTAAACTCTCTTTGTACAGCGAGCGGATGCATCTACTGTATGGAAGGAATTTACAACAGCTGATGGAAAGAAGTATGCATTGTTGTATTTCATTTGGTCTTTGTATCATGCCTATCCTCTATTGTTGCAACTGATTAGTTGATTTGATTTACACAGATATTATTATAACAAGGTTACAAAGGAGTCTAAGTGGACAATTCCAGAAGATTTGAAGGTCTACCCATTTATTTATCTCTCATACATATTCCCCAATCCAAAGCCTCTGTTAAACCTGTGTAGTTTTTGTATGCAGTTAGCTCGGGAACAAGCCCAACTAGCTAGTGAAAAGAGGTCCCTTTCTGAAGCTGGATCTACTCCTCTGTCCCACAATGCTGCATCCTCCTCTGATCTAGCGGTTAGCAATGCAACCTCTGTTGTTCCCAGCACATCTTCAACACTTCCTGGACATTCTTCAAGCCCTATCCAAGCAGGTTTGGCTGTACCTGTCACTCGTCCTCCCTCAATTGCTCCTGTAACTCCAACGTCTGCTGCAGCTACTGATACTGAGGCTACTGCAATGTACTTTTTTTTCTTCTGAGAAGCTTTGTTTGATGATTTTACACTCTTATCATGCTTATGAATTTCGCTCTTGTGCCCATCTTAACAGGAAATTGGATAATTTACCATCTCGGAGCACAGATGATTTAAATAATGGAGCTACAGCACAAAACAATGAGGCATGGTTTTAATTCCTTTTTACAATGATTTTTCTAGATTCTAAAAGTCTATACGTATGTTATCTGTTTACCTGTTTTCTACTTCAGCTTCATGTAAAAAGAGTTCAACACTAATATGTTTAAGTTATTGGAAAAGTTATGTATAATAATTACTATAAGTGTGATGATCTGGTGGTGTCATGAATATTGGTCAAGCGTTGCACCTTGGTATGCTCTCTAATAAATTCTAATGTTTTCTTAGGCTGACAATAAGGAAATGTTAGTGAACGGAAAAGCAAATCTGTCACCTGCTGGTGACAAAGCAAATGTTGAGGAACCTATGGTATATGCTACTAAGCAGGTAACTTTTTATCCTATTTTCTCCTCCTGATATCTCTTATCTGTAGCATAATGTTTTCGTGTGCGAGTCTAATTATTTGCCATCCATCTATTTTTTCTCTACTGGTTAATTTTTTATAGGAGGCCAAAGCTGCTTTCAAGTCTCTTTTGGAATCTGTAAATGTTCATTCCGACTGGACATGGGAACAGGTAATATGCCAATATTTTGTCTTTGATCGGGTATGTCAGCATTCTCTTCCTAACCATGTACTTGCTTCATTGCTGACCTTATCATATCCTTGTAGACATTGAAAGAGATTGTTCACGATAAAAGGTATGGTGCTTTGAGGACTCTCGGTGAGAGAAAACAAGCTTTTAACGAGGTATCTAGTTTCTTAGTTCTCAACTATAGTGTGCAAATGCATTTTTATTCACTTGGCTATGCAATCTGTTGTGAAGTCTTTATTTGTGATGTAACTATGTTTTCACTGGTGGATTTCCACTTTGAGTAGCTTTAATGCTTTCATCTGAGTAGTACCTGACTGTCAAATAAATTTTTCCAGTATCTTGGTCAAAGGAAAAAAGTGGAAGCTGAGGAAAGACGAAGAAGACAGAAGAAAGCTCGGGAAGAATTTGTCAAGATGCTAGAGGTATACCAAATGAGTTAGAAGTTTGGTGTTTGGTTTGTTTAGTGTGACTGATGACCTGATTTATGTTCTAAAAATATTTCTTGACTTCAGGAGTGTGAAGAACTTTCATCATCCATGAAATGGAGGTGTGGCTTTTAGTTAATTATAAGATCTTTGGTTCTTTTCTTTATTGTATGCATGACATATGTGCTAATGGAAACTATTTCCTCCCACCAGCAAAGCGATGACGTTGTTTGAAAATGATGAGCGCTTTAAAGCTGTTGACCGTTCAAGAGATCGTGAAGATCTTTTTGACAATTATATTGTGGAACTTGAGAGGAAGGTAATTATCTGGCTTCTTTTTTGGGGGCTTTTCGTTTTCATGTGTAGATTTGGCTTTGTGGTTGTTGGTATGATAATACTTTGTGCTACTTAGCAAAACACGACATGCCATACTGCTTAGCAAAACACGACATGCCATACTACTTAGCAAAACATACCTATGGCATGAAGGTGTTGGACGTGAGAATTATTATATTTACTATTATTACGGTCCAAATGGTTTCTCCTTTAGTATGATCACAAGAGGCATGTCTTAATTATGGCGACTATGATCAAAAGAGGCATGTCTTAGTTACGGTGAAACAATGATTTGTGTGGGCATTTAGATTGTGGCTGAGAAAATACCTGGTGCACCAGTATGATGGTGTTTGACACGTCTATTCAGAATACAGTTTTTTTTTTTTTTTTGCATTGTAGAGGGACAAATTCATAATTTAAATTGACATCCTAAATCCTTTAATGTTCAGGAAAGAGAAAAGGCAGTGGAGGTTCATCGGCAGCGTATGGCAGAGTACCGGAAGTTTCTTGAAACCTGTGACTATATCAAAGTACATCATTGTTTGTGAATCTTATTCGTGCGAACCTTTTTGTTTTATAGAGCTTGCCATAATGCCTTTTACAATACTTGTTTGAAGGCTGGTACACAATGGCGCAAGATTCAAGATAGACTGGAGGATGATGAAAGATGCTCATGTCTTGAAAAGATAGATCGTCTGATTGGTTTTGAGGTAAGTTACTTCGTCAAGTAGTTCAGGATGCCACATTAGAATTTGTTTCTAATGTTTGCTATCCCAGGAATACATTCTTGAACTAGAGAAGGAAGAAGAGGAGCTGAAGAGAGTAGAGAAAGTAAGGTCAATGTTCAGGGTTGTAACCTAATTTTTGGTCTTATATAGTCCAATGCTCATGGTTTCGTTTTCTTGTGGAGCTAGGAACATGTAAGGCGGGCTGAGAGAAAAAACCGTGATGCATTTCGTACACTATTGGAAGAACATGTCGCAGCTGGCATCCTTACTGCCAAGACATACTGGTTGGATTATTGCATTGAGGTGTCTGACCAATTTAGATAATTTTTTGGACAAATAATATTTTATTTTGGATTCTCTCACTGAGTTATTTATGTACAGTTAAAGGACTTGCCCCAATACCAAGCTGTTGCATCTAATTTGTCTGGCTCAACTCCGAAAGACTTGTTCGAAGATGTCACAGAAGAGTTAGAGAAACAGGTAATTTGGACTAGATAAATTATATTTATCTATGGGTAGATTTACGTGAATCTGATAGTTTTGATAATCAAACCGTTTTTGTGTTTTGATTGCCAGTATCATGAGGATAAGAGTCGCGTAAAGGATGCTATGAAGTCAAGGAAGGCAAGTTACTGAAAGCTTGTATTTCTGCTTATTACTGTACCATACATTTTCCTAATCCCTTTGTCTACCAGATTTCCATGGTCTCCTCTTGGCTGTTTGAAGATTTTAAATCTGCCATTTCAGAAGATCTCATTCCTCAACCAATATCAGACATAAATTTAAAGGTACGGGATTAGTTGCGAAGAGAACATGTGTCAGCAGATAAATTAACCAACAGTTACCCTTATCTAATTTGTATACATTGGAATAAATATATTTGCTACTGGTTCAAACTTTTGTTTCTATATCTGTAGTGGGTTTAAATTGTTGTTCCCGGCATGGTTCAACCCATCTGACACTTGCAATGTGTTATTTTGCACCTGCTTCTACTAGACTCATTGTTGATGGGATTTGTATAAATATATTTTTAATTGATGCTCTGGATGAAATTCTGATTGACAGATTGTCTCGCGTACAGTAGAGATGATGGTATTTTTCAAAGTTCAGTTGAATAGGCTCTAATAATTTTTTCCCTTGTTTAACAGCTTATATATGATGACTTGGTTGAGAGAATGAAGGAAAAAGAAGAAAAAGAGGCCAGAAAGCTTCAGCGTCTGGCTGAAGAATTTACCAATCTGTTGCGCACTCTCAAGGTATATCTTACCCGTGGTGTTTTTCTTTTCTGGCTGGATTCTCTGAGACGTTAAACATAGGTGTTGTTGGTTTAGGAAATAACCGCAGCTTCAAATTGGGAAGATACCAAAGCACTGATTGAAGAAAGTCAAGAGTACAGGTAAATAGTTTCTTGCTTTGTTGGATGCTTCATGACAAAAGGTTCTGGTATTACCTTCTTAATGTCCCATTTCGAATTTCTTCAGATCGATTGGAGATGAAAGTGTTAGCAAAGGGTTATTTGAGGAATACACAACGAGTTTACAAGAAAAGGCAAAGGAGAAGGAGCGTAAGCGTGATGAGGAAAAGGTACTGATTTTTCGTGCCATGAAATTATTTTTCTTCTATGTAAAAACGGGTCTCAAAGACTTTATTGTCGTGGACATCTCAGGTTAGAAAAGAGAAGGAAAGGGATGAGAAAGAGAAGCGGAAAGACAAAGATAAGGAGAGAAGGGAAAAGGAAAGGGAACGTGAAAAAGAGAGGGGAAAAGAGAGGAGTAAAAGGGAAGAATCAGATGGCGAGGCTGCTGTAGAAGCGAGCGAAGGTCACAAAGAGGAGAAAAGAAAGGGAAAAGATCGAGACAGAAAACATCGGAGACGGCATCATAATTCTGATGAAGATGTCAGTTCTGATAGAGACGACAGAGAAGAGTCGAAGAAATCCTCCCGTAAACATGGTAATGATAGAAAGAAAACAAGAAAGGTAGGTACTCCCTTGACTTCAATTCTGACTCAGCTAAGCTTAAGATCTGTTACTAAGAGGGTATGGTTTCTTGTTAGCACGCATACTCGCCTGAATCAGACGGTGAAAACCGGCATAAAAGACTGAAGAAGGATCAACGGGAGGGTAGTCGTCGAAGTGGTTATGACGAGCTAGAGGATGGAGAAGTTGGGGAGGATGGCGAAATCCGACATTAAAACCGCTGACAAGTGGTAATAAGTTTTTCTTACATTTTTGCATCAACTGAAACCTTTATATATACCAATGCGCTTTCTTTCTTGATTTAGCTTCACGCATTGTAATGATACTCTTTCATTTCTTTCATTTCTCTGTTAATTGGATATTCACTATCCCCAAATCTTTGATTCTTACCGTCAATGGGGAAAAACTGTACTGAAAATTACGGCATCTGTTTCAAATTTGACTTCAGGAAAAACAAAGAAAGGAAATAAGAAATGCAGACTAAATTATTAAAAAATGGTTTTCAAAAATTGCAGTATGCATCCGCCATTGTTTTTCAACCATGTTTGTTTTGCTCGAAGGCTCTTTTCGAGTATTCGTACAGTGAAAGTTGGCCAGCAGTGAGGTCTTAAAACATATCGTATGAATTGCTCTTCCTGATTACTTGAGATAACAAGTACACATCTCTCATCTTTGTTTTCTCCTACACTGTCCTTTCGAAGTTGTAAACTGTTTAAGCCAGCTTCGTTGCTATTAGTAGTCGCATAGTAGTCGCAAAGTCAATAAGGTATTCAATATCGACGAATTCCGCATTGCAACTATATCGATATTACAGTTGGTCTCCGAATTTTTCAACACTCATATATTTATGATCTTTTTGGCGGCTGTGCCAACCTAAATCTACAATTTGTGCTTCTTGTATGGTAACCTCCATCCGCCCGCAACTGCAACAATATAGTAACCTCCATCCGCCCGTTGATGCTCCTTCACCACCGTCTTATCAATGAAGTAAGCAACTGCAACAATATATAATGAATTCACTCGTCATTAGTCTTGAACAGACATGAGAAATACTAAAATATAATTTGTACAAACAGACGAACATCTAATTTTGTTTTACTATATATAATCACAACCTATAAACATCTACAGGATAATGTTAATTTTTAATGATTAGATAATGGATTCACAGACCTCAAATAGTTCGAATGCACTGCCCTTCCGATACGTATCATCTTTCTTCTTGGACTGTGTAGGAAGCACACTGAATAACAGCGTTCTCCATCCGATAAGTAAAACAGCAGTACTTCCCATTGTAACCAACACAAAGCTAGAAGCCGGGATGTGACCCGATGAAGCTGACCTAATGACTATTCCAAGCTGCAAATAAAGGAACAACCTTTAAAACAATTTTGGCAGACACATGAATCAACAGAAGTCACTAACATCCTAAACTCTACACGTCAAGCAAGATCAGTGAACTGCTAGTTTTAACTCTTGTAAATGCAGCCTTACCGGAACACCAAGAATCCACGATTTCGCAGCTGCAACCACAGCTTTAGACCGACCCTTCATCCCTCTCCCTTCCTCCGCATACCCTCCCAAGAAATACGCACTCAGAAACCATCCTACCACACAAAGTTTCCACCTTTATTCCTCAAAGCTTCCAAAAACACATCAATACCAGAGAACGGAACAAGAACCAATACCAGCAATAAAAGGATCAGCTGTATGAAGAGTATCAATAGAAAAAACATTGAACCCATGGCTAAATCTCCCAATAGCAGAGAACATAAGCAAAGCCAATACATCTCCACCAGCAAGTAACGCAACACGTCTGAATACAAATCACACACCAAATTAAGATAACACAACACAAAAATCAAACCTTTCCCCTAAAGTAAGAGTCTTTATCATTACCCCCATTTAGTAATGTTAGAAGATGAAGTCGAAGATGATGGCTTATCAAATTGAATCACACCCTCTAAAGGAACATCCTCTTGACCCACGAAAACTGTGTCATCTCCTGAAGAAGGGATTTGAGAAGATGAGGTCGTAGTGGTGGGTTTGGACTTGACGGTTCCGTCAGGGTTAGAGAGAGCGAGGACGACGCGTCGTCGCCGGAGAGTGGTGGGAGCGGAGACGAGGCATGAGTCGGAAGAAGAGAAAGAGGAAGGATTGGTTTTGGTGATGAATCTGACGGCGGAGACAGGTCCGGTGGGAGTGCGAAGAACTAACATTCTTCTCTTTTGTATTGCCTTGTGGGAAGCCAATCGTCCGCCACTCGAGTCTCATCACTTTTCTTTTCACATAAAACAATTTTTTTCCATGTTTACAAACAAAAAATAAAAATAAATAAAACAACTACTTTTTTATTTTTAAAAATATTTTAAAAATATAATTTATATTAACATTTTTATAGCAATATAAAACAAATCAGTAAAAATAATTTAAAAGAAAGAAATTTATAACCTAATAAATCTTTGAGTGATCTCAAAAAACTTGGCTTTAACTACTCACGTTCATGTGATAGAGTGGATATGTGTTTGGGAAAACGGGGAAAATCAACCCAAACTATTTCCCGAAGGTATTTTCATACCCAAACTCGTGTACTCTGAATTTTACAACTCAAACCAGCTTTCAGTTCAAATAACCAACCTGAACTATATCAAATTTTGTCAATTTCAACCTCGACGTTAATAGTATCCATGCCCATCTTGAAGATTTGGACAATTAAGCTTAAGCTTAAGCTTAATTTCTCTTGGTTTTTACAGAACCTTAAGTTTGATTGTCCAAATCTTTAAGATGGGCAAGAATATTGTTAACGTCGAGGTTGAAATCGACAAAATTTGATGTGGTTCAGGTGGATTATTTGAATTGAAAGTTGGTTTGGGTTGTAGAATTCAGAGTACGCGAGTTTGGGTATGAAAATACCTTCGCGAAATAGTTTGGGTTGATTTTCCCCGTTTTCCCATTTGTGTTTACATAAATATGATTTGGGTTGTTTATCTACAAAATATTTTAGTTAAAATATAACAAGTTAAATAAATATGTTATATTATCATCATTTCATTATTTTGAATATTATATATTTAATTAATTTGATTAAATTACATTTATGTAAAAAAAAACAAATTGTCACACGGTACTCTAAAGGTTAAATTATAGAATTAACAATCAAAATACAATTATTGGAAGCCAAAAACAAAACTGGCATAAAGCATAGAAATGTGTAACACCCATGTTCGAAAATAGGTGACGTCGATCAACATCAAAGAAGAATGTCGATCGACACCAACATTTTTTGGTTCGACCGGTTTGTTTTAAATCGCAAAATTGATTTGCCAGGATTGGTTTAACCCCATGGCTCGAGTCTAAAAGGTACTCAACCCTAACTGATCTTAGCCGCATTTTGTTGTTTCTAAAGTGTGAGAAAGTTTCTAAGAGTTTCTAAGGGTTTTTTTGTAAGGTTTTTGAAGAGTTTTGGCTGCAGTTCTTGGTGATTCTAGCCTAAAGGAAGAGAGATCTTGTGGCTGTTGTTTTAGGGGTGTTATGTGCTGCCTTTGTTTGTGTGTTTTCGTCACTGTTCATCCATTTCAAAAGGTGAGTGTATGACCAAGGCTTATCTAAACAGTTTTGGGTGTTTCCATGATTGTTGATTGATTTATTTGCTTGTATGTGTGTTTCATGTGTTGTGGTGCCTCTGTACGTCCCTCTGGAGAGTCCATATCGGCCATGGAGTGCAAGAAGAAGGAGATCCATCAAGGAAAGCGACTGGAGCTATGTTAGGGTCTTAGTGTCGATCGACACCAGCTTTATGTGTGGCGAGGATAGTCGCGAGTGACGATCAACACCAGTGATGGGTGTCGAGTGGGAGTGTCGACAGAAACCAGTCCTCAGCAGCGGCTGAGTTTTCCATTATTTGTCATTTTGGTTGTGTTATTGCCTGAATATGATTAATACTGGTTGTATGTATAGCCCAGTAGTTGGGATGAGTGCCTCACTTTTATGTATCTCTTTTCGTGATGTAGGTAAAAGCAAAGTGTGACCGTGGAATAAGGCGAGGAGAGAAAAATGATCTAGGGACTCAATAGATTGATTTATGATTATGTTATGGCATTTTTAGGAATGCTAGTTCTAGAATTTAGAAGCGAGCATGATAGAAAAATTATGATATTTCTTGATGATTGCTGGATTGTTGCTTTAATTGTCTTGCATTGGTTTTTAATTGGTTTGGTTATTGTTGACTTTCGCTCTGTTTAATCTGATTATCTGGTTAATTGAAATTGTCCGGTTTAATTGGTTTAATATGATTTATTTAATTGATTTAGCTAGTTAAAGTTGGTTAAATCTGCTTTAGTTGGTTTAAATTGATTTAGTTCAGTTTAGCTGGTTTAAATCAGTTTAATTTGGTTTAGCCATGTATTAAAAAAATGGTCGGTCCTTTCAAATGGTATTCCCGTAAGTCTTTACAGTTAGGGCCAGACTGGTTTAAACGCAGCTGTTGCGGTTGCCGCTGCGGGAGTTTGTGGAAGCGGGCGGTTGCGGTTTCAAGCGTTATTAAGCGGTTTGAACGACTGGTTTTGCGTTTGAAAATGGCTGCGTTTGCGGGAGTTTTATGACTGGTTGATTAGCGGGTGCAACAGCGGTTAAATAAAAAATTGCAAAAACAAATGTAAATATAATTATAAAAACATATAAATGCTCCAAAAACTATATTATTATGATTAAATAATAATATATTGAAAAAAAAAGAAAATGATGAATAACTAAAAACCATAAATGAATAATTAATAATTATTTAAAAAAAAAAACATATTTTCAGTTAAATATATTTAAGAAAAATTATAATTTTCTTGAACATGCTTAATAATTAAAACCATAATTAATAATATTGGAAACTTATATAAAGAGAGTGACTATTTTTGATAATTAATGTGAATATATATATATATATATATATATATAATTTGATAAAATATAATTTACAGATTTTCCTTTTTTAGATTCTTTCCTTTTTTAAACTAATCGCAATCGCCCGCAACCGCAAACGCTTGCTGGAGGGAGCTTTTAGAATTCAGCGATTTCGAGCGTTTTGAAGCGGTGTGAAGCGTTTTCTATGATTGGTATCAACCGCTCACAACCGCAACCGCCCGCTAGCAACCGCTAGGCGGCTGAGAGCAGGAGAACCAATCAAGCTCTTAGTCTTTGTTCGTAAGCATGATAGTTGAGAAATCGGAAAATTAGAATAGATCATATATTTTCTTTAACTATAAAATATTTTGCGTATATTTCTAGCATAAAAATATCATATTTTTGTAGCAAATATCAAATAAGTCACGTCTTTTATAATTTATTCCAAGGATAAATAATTTTCAAATTTGATTAATTATTTACCCAACTATAAAAGAAGAGATCTTAGTGTTGTTGCTTTTCTTGTAAGGATTTTCTTTGTATGCTTGGCATTTTAGGTTTTAGTCTCTAGGGATTTTCGTATATTCGCCGGTAAATATTGCTGGCAGTTTTCATGTACTCTTTGGGTTAAGTGTAATGCATTTGTATGATATTAATGAAAATAAACTTTTAGAGAAAAAATAAAAGCCCTACTGTAAAACACTTAGGGGGTGTTATTGATTGTATAAGTTAAATTCAACTCCATTAGATTTTAAAATTCATAAGACTTTTAAAATTTGGGTTCATTGAAACTGAAGTATTATTCATTTTAACAAATATGTGGAAGTGTATTTCTACAATGACAAATGATTTCCTTTGTTTTGAACAATAGAATTGAATTCTATAACAAATAATTTTCATAATTTCAGTGAAATTCTACCAAACTTTTTACCATTACGTTTTTTTCTTCTCATTTTCTGTTTTGAAGTTCTAGCATATTTTTTTAAGGTGAAAATTGATTATAAAAACAAAGTGACGAAAATGAACCATACAACAACCAGATTCATTTTGGGTGGAAAATGAGGAACATAGTGTGTATATTTGTTTTGACGGACACACTACGTAAAAGAAAATGAGGAAGAGAGAAAAATGTTGGGTGGATGAGTTATGTGTATTACGTTGAGTGATAGGGTGAAACTTTTGTTTATTTGATTGTGAAATCTCATGTAGAAGGTTGGTTTTTGGATTGACATAATTTACATATGAAATCAGTTTCAGGTTCATTTTAAATCCTTTCAAATGATATCATTTGTGAAAATCCACCAAACTTGAATAACATAAGACTTTGATTAATAATTATAAGTATGAGAACCAATAACACTTGATTTAAAACTCTTTAGATAAAGACAATATAAATATGAGAACCAATAACACATGATTTTAAACTCTTTTAATGAAGATTCTATAATTATAAGAACCAATAACACTTGATTTGAGTAAAGGATTTAAAATCATTATTAAATAACACTAGAGTTGGGTTAGAGTTAGACTCTATTAAAATACAGTATTCAATAATACAGATATTCGGTTCTGATTTTTCTATTATTCGAGCGAATCCATAAAATTACTATCTGAATCCTGCTTCTCCAGATATCCTATTAGTCAGATCGGATCCTGAATCTCAGATAATGAGTCAAGAGTTCTACTTCTCACACTTTTTCTAACCAATAACTTTGATATATGAGTTATGGTTTAGCCTTTTGTCTGAGTTTTGGTTTTGCATCTCTAACTTGCTTATAAGTAGTAAACTTTTTCGTTTGATTTAAATTTGTGTGGATATAGTAGCAATTTATTTTTGTTATTACAATTTAATTTAATAATATAGAGAGAGACGAGTCTCCTATAATTTCTTTTTGATTTAATTGTTATACGAATGAAATCGGGAAATAACACTCTATGTACTCCAATAAATAAAAAATTAAGTATTTGACTTTAATGTTTTTAAAATTAGTTCTCTCTCCTAGTTACTTTAGCTGGACAAAAATATATCTATATATGGTAACAAATAGTTTAACGAGATAACGTAATAAATATCAATAAATTATAGACTCTTTTATCAATAATTTGTACGTAATCTATTTCTAACTTCTACAATATGATACAATGTTTCAACACGATAATAAATAATTTATCAGAATAAATTCAAAATTACCATATAACTTATAATTTTATCGCGATACAATATCATTTATACTGTTAATAAATTATTTAGCATATTAACTTTAACACTAAAAATTATTTAGCATATTAAGTTTATGAAAACCTGGTTAGAGTTTAGATTTTGTAATTAAACAAAATTATATTTTGGTTTGGGTTGACAAAATATTGGTTGGGGTTTAAATTTTGTA